AAATTAAGAGCCCACTAAACTGAACCTCATTGAAAACTTCCTCATTATTCCAGTAAGTATTGATTCCTGAGTTAAAACATTAGTGTTGTTGTTTCTAAATGAACATGAAATTGTTTTCTTTGCTTCATCCTGAAAGCACTGCGACTTTTTTGTAATCGTGACCAATTCTCATCTTCTCCAAATAATTACAAAATATCTGCTTGTAACTTTAGAGACATGTTGTCAGTAGTTCATGGAATAAAAGAACAATGTTCATTTTACTTAAACATAAATCTATTAAGAGTAAAATCTGGGAAACTGATCATTTTAAGTGGTCTATTAAATATCAGTCTTTGTCTACATCATTTAGTTTCTCTCATCTTCCTCAATTCCCAGATTCTCTGTAAGGTTTATTTCACATCAGTTTTCTGCCCAATCAAACACAACGAGATTCAAGTAACTAACTTGAACTTGTCCCTGTAATAACACAACATCTCTATGTACCCAACCTAAAATAAAGATGGAAGTCTCTTAACTCGTTGTCTTCCTAATGTGAAGGCTGGCACTGTTGCATAAATGTGAACCATTCCTTTATCTGTACCTGTTTTTCTTCCCATTAGCAATCATTTGTCCGATTTTGGCATTCAACCTGGATTCATTTTCTAAATTTAATTAACCCTGCTGGCCTCCTTTGATACTTGCCTGTTTGTACATCTGTCTCTTCATTTGTATTTGCTGACCTCAGAGTGAACTCTAGCAGAACTTAGTTTCTCTCTGAAGAGGCTGTGAAAACACATCCATACATTATCTTCATGTCTTTCTACATGCTTCCCTCTTCCCGTGCACCCGCCACTCACCCAGGGGGTTGGGTGCCAAGTGATGGGGGCGACGGCCCAAGGCGGGGTGTTGGCAATCAGATCTTCGGTTTTAGAAACTGGCTCTCGGAAACATAGAAGCATCTCAGTAAAGAAGAATATTAGCCAAAAAAATATTTATTTAGTAAATCAATTTGAAAAGTGGAGCTTATAAAATGTTGATTCATTACAGAGGCATTTAGTTCAACCATTTATTCTATTAGTTTTTATTATGGCCTACAGTTAATTAACTGAATGCGGATTATTAAAATCACACCCACGCATACACATATATATATATATAAAAGGGGTTTTAATGGAGAAATGTTCAGTTTACATAAACTTACAGTGACACCTGCCAGGTCATTTCTAAAGAACTTCAGTTCATACAGTGCTGTAGCCAAACACATTAATGGAAAGTTAAGTGGAAGGAAAAAAAGTAGTAAACAAAAAGTCTTAAAAGGGTTGTGACACAGAGCCAATTGAAGAATTTGAAGGAGATTGACAAGTTGTGGACTGTTTGAAGTAAATTTTCCAAAAGCCAGATACCAGTTACAACTTTCATGTTCAATCCAGAACAAAAGACAACATGTGAAACTTCCTACCTGAAATAAGGACAGAAAGGACCATACTTTTGGTCAGTGTCCAAGTCACTCTTCTTATACGAAAGTAAAGTTTGCATTTCACATAGGAATCAAGGAGGAAGAATGAAAAGGCAGAAAATCCATGCTGCTTGAAGCTCACTGTCTCGTTCACACATTCGGTGATGATTTGAGGAAACAAGTCGTCTACAGATGTTGGTCAACAATCAAGTCCAGATTGATCAGCAAGCATCCAATCCAAATCCAGACTGATGGATGGATTCAACTTTCTATTCAACAAAAAGAGAGAAAGAAATTGCAAATATATAATCATAAAACAAAAAAACTATGTTGAATAAATAAGAAACCTGCAGCAAACCACTGAGAACATGCGGAGTAACAAGAACAGACTGACAAAGTAGAGTTTCATCAGCTAAACTGAATAATAATTACACATTGATGCTGTAAAGTTGCTGTTTTTTAAACTCCGCACAAATGACAAAAAGTTTCCCAGAGCTGTTTAGTTTTACACGGCTCCTCTTGTGACAGTAAAAAAAAAAAAAAACAACAAAAAGAAAAACATTTTATATCTGGTCCTCTTTAAATCTCTCACCTGGTGATGAAAGCAGGACACAAACGGCTCCTGGTGTCCTCCACCTGCTCAGGACTCTGTGATGTCAGCGGGTTTGGAGAGCTGAGAGCTGAATTTGCATCTTTCTCTGCAGGGTCAATTAGAAGCCCCACAAAGAGCCGGAAAAACAGAGAGAGGACAGCTTTCCTTGTTGCACAGCTGGGATTCCCAGAGCTGCAGCCAGGAAACTCAAACTGTGGGGTCTTCAGTTTGATGTCTGAAGTCTCAGGTGGTTTCTGCTGTCATTATTCTCTTGCTACCCGGATTATTAGCTCAATTCTTATTGTTCAGCAAGTAAAGTTTTGTAATTACTCACTAATTTACTATGTTCTGACACATACATAGAGAGTTACTAGTTTAATGTGACAAAAAGTGAAAAAAATCAAAGTCTATGTACTTTTGAATCAATACTGACGCCTATTTTGGGGTAAATAAGGAACGAGAACAATCACTAATAATAAAAAAAAAAAAAGAAATCAACAGTTTGAAAGGTTAACCTTTTCTGCACTTATTTGCAGAAAACAATCTGATCCTTTATCAAAAAAAATTTAGTTTCCATGATGCTGAAAAATGTAATATTTCACTTTACTCCAACAGAAAATTAATCCGTCTTATCTCTGCTTGCTTTACTGCCACATAAATGCCCTAAATAATTAATGGAGGTAATTGCAAAATCCCTCTGCACATGCACCCGCGAGAACGTTTATTTTTTTACTGCCAGCTGCATGCATGATTGTACGTCATTTAACACGGAATTAGACACGTTTTGTGACGCTTGCAATCTATCCAAGCTTTGTCACAAGGCGCTACAAACACAAACTACGGTTTGATCTGGAAGTCTTTGACTCGAGTGGAGAGAAAACTTTGCTTGGTTTCCAGGTTTTGTCCTAATTTCCACTCTTCTGCTGCAGCTGCACAAGAAATGAGGTGAATAACTTCACTTCCTGGAGGAGTTCTTTCTTCCTGGAGGTTTTTTGTGGAATAATTTCATTCATGTTTGGCAGAAAATGTATCCATCCAAAGTTCAGAGTTTGTCTGCGACATCATTTACTCCAAGTACCATTAGAAGACCTGCATGTCAGGCTGCCTATGTCTCCACTTGATGATGCTTCACATCATTAACTATATAGAATATTATAATGTTTCTCTTCCTGTCGTTAAATCTTTGTTTCGTCTGACTGAAACATCTATTCCCACATTTTCTGACACGTGTCAACCTGTCCCTGAACTCTTTGTATTTGCTCTTACGAGGTTTTTTAAAATTAGAACTATGCTCTGAATATTTTTACCCTTCCTATCGTCTTTTTTGAGTGATGGCCATGAAGTGGTTCTGCATCAAATCCACTTCAAACAAATTAAATGAAAATCTCTTAAGGGTTCAACAGTTTGCAAAAGGTTTGTACAGACTTTCCTCTGAACTCTGAGAGTTCAAACTCTTAATACAATTTAATCTTATTTTTGTACCACGTTTAAACACATTTTTAACCCAGGGGATAACAAATTTTTGTTCAATCTGACTAAAAACTCAACTTCTGTAGTAAGTTGCTTGATGCTGGGCCACTAGATTTTTCCAGTGTTTATTTGTTGAGTGCAGGACAAAAAGCTGTCCTGCCAGCTGATCATCCCACCTGAGCTGTTGTTCTCTGCAGCTCCTCCAGAGATGCCATGGGCCTTTTAGCTGCTGCTTTGATGGAAAATATCCTTGTCTAGAAACAAATACAAATGAAATCCACAATATTCAAATATTAATCATATTATCATGGTTTATGCACCAAATTTCATACATTATAAATATTTTACATTTTATAAAAGACATAATAAATCTTAAGTTTCTAAGATCACACTCAAACTGACTTATGACATCTGAATTAATCACTGTACCATAAAATAAGCTAAAGTTGCGTTTGTCTTTTTCTATCTTGCATTTTAAAGATCGACTTTGTTAAATAAAAACAAGAAAACAGTGGAGAAAAGTACCTTGCTTTATCAAACCTAAAGAAGAATTTTTATTTACCTTCGTTCGTCCAAAAGCTTTAAAGCATCCATGTCTGAGCCAACAGTTGAACACCGGCAGCATTTTGTCTTCAGCGCATCTAAAAGTCATTAATACTGCAGGCAGATTGCTTCAGCGGAGCATTAAAGTCTCATGATTTCAACGCCAGCCTAAACTATTTAATTACACGTCTGTGTGTGTTATTTCTGCTTCACTGTTAGGCAGCAGGTTGATAAAAAGCACTCAACCAGAAACTCAGCCCTCACGTTTTTTGCCAGAGAAAAATAAAAAATAACATGTTTTCATGGACTGGTTGCTCGTTGAGGCTCCTAGAAACGCTTCTCGACGCCCGCTTCTTCCCTGAAACGCAGCCATTTCCCCTCATATTTTGGGTTTTCCAGCACAATCATCAGCATTTCTGCCTCCATGACATAAAACAAACGAAGACTGAGCGCCTCTGCCTCAGTGTGTGTGGTTTGAAACCCCCTTGTCAGCAATCACTGGGTGGGAGACAGCCATAAACCAGGCTTTAGAAGCCCATAATGGCCCACTGCAGCGCTGGCAAAACTTATATCACATTAAGCCTCTTCCCATTCAGACACAAATAGGATCATTATTTTTGATAACTATACAGCAAGTGCCGGATAATTCAATCACATTACTTGCCACCGCATATTTCTGCATTTTGGTTAAATCGTCATAAATCTCACCGTGTCTTTCTTATTATTGTATTTAATTACAGCACAAAACAAATAAATAACGCACTGTGCAACAAATTATCAGAGCATTGTCGCCTGTCTGCGAACAGTAAGCGGGTTCCGGTTCATTTTGTCCTCAGCGAGGAATCCCACTGACTGCTGCTTACTGGTTTTATTTATTTATTTATGTTAGGAGAACAGCCTCTACTTCTGTTGGAATGACAGGAGCGGTGATTTACAGGAGGACCAATAAAGCAATGCAGGTTCACAAGTGTGGAAGCCAGAGCTTTTTATTTTTAGGAAAGAGGAAAACAAGACTGCACAAACATATTAGTTTAGAATCAAAAAGCCATTTTCACTATTTTTAAATCACTTTAAATGACTATAAATTAATCCCCTGAACAGATCAGTCTTTACACCCCATTAGTTACATGTTGCTACAGAAATTGTTTTTATATAGAGGACACCTCTGGTAAAGATGAGTCTCTAAATAAATTATTTCCTTACTGTAGTAGCAAAATCTCACTGAAATTTTAATTTGAGTGCATTTATTTTGTAGGCAGCAAAAATTGTATTTTTATAAACATGGGTCAGTTTTTATTAAAGTTTTTTTTATTATTTGTACTTTTTTGAGTTCTAGCTCAGGCTGGTACACTGACATTACAAAACTGCAGCAGAGGCATCTTGAGCTTCATTTCTACCTGTCAATCTGTTTTTTATGAGTGGAAACTTTTGTCTACAATCACAAACATAAACAAGCTCAAATATGTAGCGACTTCTCCTTACTCTGTGTGTTCGGTGAGGACACCAAACTGACACTCCAGGTGGGTTTGGTGTGAAGCGAAGGATGACTTTGAGGAAAAATCCTCAAGTTTGAACATGAACCTTGTAAGGAAGCATGACAGTTTTTGGACACAAAAAAACAAAACAGAAATGTCTCCGAAGACATAAAATTAACATTCAGTCCTGGTCATCTCAGCTCATGGATATAAATCTTATTAAAACTCTGCAGAGAGGATGTTCTTTGTGTGTTGGCTTCTTTGTGTCCTGAGGGTGATTCTCCCAAAGGTCAGTAGAAATTTATCCCCATTAATGCAAAAAACTAATTGCCAATTGTCACAAAAACTTGATGGTGGCCACTGCTGACAAGCTAATAGGTTCAGGGGAAATTACTTTTTCCACATAGGGTTGAACTGGTTTAGTAAAACCAGAATTATCATTTTCAAAACTGAGTTCATATTTTTTGGGACAAAAATCTGAACTTGTTGGAGCATCAACGGAACAAAAACACAAGAAATCTGTGAGGGCCCAAACACTAAAGTCAGAAAATAGCTAAAACTTTTAAACAAAGGGACAGAAAATGAAGTCTGACATGAATTATGTCAAGATCTGTCCTATCTGCAAAAGAGCACTTTCAAGAAGCTTTAAAGGGCTTTTTATTGTGCAATTTTGCTGCTGCAATAATTCTTTTAATGCTTTTAAGACTTCTTCACCAAGGTTGCCAAAAAAAAAAAAAAAAAGAGTTCAAAGTGAATCAAGAATCCCAAACACTTTCTCGTCTTTAAACGCTTTACTGATTTCACACCGTCTCCTCCACGATGAACTCGATGGCGTGCTGCGGCGACTGACCCGTTTCCACCATGGTGATCTCACTCTCCTCCATGGTGATGGTGGGAACCGTGATAGCCTGGCCTCCCAGCACCGACGAGGGCAGGATGACCACCTGCGAGGTTCCCTCGATCCCGCTGAGCGAATCAGACGGGATCATCACCGTCTCGGTGCCTTCGTCGCCCTCCTGCAGCACGTATATGGTCTGCACGGTGCCCGACTCCAGGTCCGTGGTGGTCGCCAGCGACGACAGCGCCTTGGCCCCTTCCAGCACCTTCTGGACGTGGGCGACCTCGGCGGCCTGCACCACCTGCTCGGCCGCTTCTGGGGGCAGGTCTCCGTGTTGGCGCAGGTGCTTGTCGAGGTTGGGGCGAGAGCGGAAGGCGGCGGCACAGTGGGGACACGGGTACGGCTTCTCGCCGCTGTGGGTGCGGGCGTGCTCGGTGAGACGGGCCGCCACGCTGAAGCTTTTGCCGCAGATCCAGCAGCAGAAAGGCCGCAGGCCCGAGTGGATCCGCTCGTGGTCCTGGAGGTGGGGCAGCTGGCGGAAACGCTTCCCACAGGTGGCGCACTGGAGGACAAACGGAGAGTAGGACCGGTCAGTGAAAATGCAGAGGATGACACTTCATCAATCATCTATCAATAAATAGGTTTAAATTTGGCCATAAAACAGATTTTTTTAAATTAATTTTTATTTTTATTTTAAAGAAAATTAGTTTGTGAAGTCGAGACCAAACAAGATTCAGCATTTTCCGTCTAATGGTCTGGACAATACAACTGAAAAACAGCAATATAAAAGTTTCATATCAGTCAATATTAATAACAATTAATACATTTCTTGTTTTAAATATCTGAAATATTAAACTGGTGATGTGACCTTTCCTGCATTATCTACAGTTTTCCCTTTCACTCCTTGCTGGTTTTTTTCATTTTTAAGCAGCTATGAGGCACAAACTGCAACCTGTTGTTGCTAGCTAACCATAGAGACAGTGAGTTAGTTGAGGCCCCCGACCTGATCAGCTGACCCCAGAGGTTGATCATGTGTGTGTAAAAAATATGAGACGATTCTCCCAAAGGTCAGTAGAAATTTATCCCCAGTAATGCAAAAAACTAATTGCCAATTGTCACAAAAACTTGATGGTGGCCACTGCTGACAAGTTAATAGGTTCAGGGGAAATTACTTTTTCCACATAGGGTTGAACTGGTTTAGTAAAACCAGAATTATCATTTTCAAAACTGAGTTCATATTTTTTGGGACAAAAATCTGAACTTGTTGGAGCATCAACGGAACAAAAACACAAGAAATCTGTGAGGGCCCAAACACTAAAGTCAGAAAATAGCTAAAACTTTTAAACAAAGGGACAGAAAATGAAGTCTGGAATACAAATGTTTTCCCATGCTTCTCCAGCCAGAGTAGAAACTCAGGTTAAAATTTAAGTTAACTAAAGTAATCCCGTCAATAATCAGCTGTCGCACCTTTCTCTGCCACACTGCGATTTCCTCGCTGCACACTTCCACCTGAACGAACACAATGAGCCACAACTAAATGTCTGATTAAACCTGAGGCACAACAAAAGACATTCTGCTTTGCTTATATTCCCACTGGGGATGCTCAAATTGAAACCGCAGCCTGACGGATTGGCACTGCAAGTATCTCTGAGACATACTTCTTCATATTCTACTTCTCAGATTGCTCTGTTGGTTTCCATGCAAATGTATGTCTGATACGTACTCCTGGGATGCAAAATGCTCTTCAGGCGGTTTCGTTTTGAAATATAAACACTTGACAACCTCCTTAAGTTTCAACTTAATGTTGCTCATACAGCCGAGCAACGTCAACTTCTCAAACAAAAATCACTGATGTGCTACGAAGGAGTGGCTGTGATGACAGAAAAAAAATGTTGTTAGAAAAAGACATAATGCCAATAAGCAACATTAATTTTGATGTCCAGTAAGTGAGCTAATTCACTTCATGGAGAGAAGTTTTAACTTTTTTTCATCTTTCATTTTTTGTCCAGCAACTTGAAAGGGTCTTGTTTAAGTTTAACAATGCAAGAAAACTACACTTTTCTTTTTATTCAACCAATATTTAATACAGTTGATACAAAATGTTAAAATTTAAAGTTTTTTTAATTCAGCATATTTATGCTATGGAAGCAAGTTGAGCCGTCTTGATCAAAGAAAATTTGGGTTTTTGGGAAAATATCCACGTAGTCGATCGATAACATCAACAATACATTAACTCATTAATCAATGATTTATATCACTAATCATACAGCAAAGCCACAAAGATGACTAGCAAAAGATGTCCTTTAACTCTGTAAGCTTAGGTTTGGTTGGGTCTGTAGCTGATGTCCTGCTCCGTCGTCTCTGCATCAGAGAGAAGGAACGGATCCCAGAATAGAATCAGTCACAGAGGGGAGCTGACAGGCTCTAAGTCAGCCCTGTCATAAATCACAGGTACACAGGGAGAGGAATCACCCTCAGGACACAAAACTGCATGAATGTCTGCGCTGTGGAATGGTCACAACCACCGTTTGTATGTAATCATCCCACATAAGCAGGACGAAATCTGCTTTTAAAAGCCAAGACAAATCTGGCGTTTTATGCGAGTTCACAAGCTCCGCCACTATTCTCACCTCGAAGGGCCTCTCATCAGTATGTGTCCTCATGTGAACGCTGAAAGTGGAATTGTAGGCAAACTCCTTGAGGCAAATGTCGCAGCGGAAGCGCGGTCGGGATTTGGACTTGGACAGTGTTCCTTGGAAGTGGGCCAGCACGTGCTCCTCCAGGGCGCTGTTGGAGGTAAATCTGCGGCGGCACGGCCTCACCGGGCACTTGAGCGGCGTCTGGCCTGTGTGGGATAAACGATGGAGATCCAAGCCCTCTTGGGTCATGCAGCGGTGCCCGCAGAGGTCACACTCGATCTGTGGGAAGAATGGAGACAGAATGAGGACAAAGTATAGATGGGATGGAGACAACATCGCAGCATGTGGTCAAACTGCGGGACAAGTACATTACAGCTCAAATGCAGCAGATAATGTTGTTGACACTCTTGGTAGGGGACATGCAAGAAGCCTTAACGTTACATTTTACTGCAGCAGCATGATCTCTTGAAACATTTGGAACAATTCAACTTCTAACATGAACACGTTTAAGTGGGAGAAATTATTAAGTAACTCAGAAATACTTTATCTCAGAGGAAATTAAATGTTGCCATTACTCATATCCTATATGCTGGGAAAGAAGGCTCTCCAGTAGCAGTCAGTCTTGCAGTGAATCAGAAGAGGCCTCTGATTTGTCTCTGACTAAACAATTAATGAATCATTCTAAAAGATTAGTTGTTAGTAATAAATGTAACTGAAGTTTGTAGCTTATACTTTAAGTGGATCAAAATTGCTACAAATTTGTAATGAACAATCCATGACTTTTTATTTCCAGATTAATCAATAAGATGCATCACATAAATGCTTTAGATGAAAAGGAAACTAGAAAGAGAAAATAAAATCTGTTTTTAAACATCTATACCAGTCATAACAGACAAAAGGACAGGGAATAAAGCCTGGGAATACAAATATTTTTCCAATTTATGTCAACTAAAGTAATCAGTCACCAGCATTCACACCTTTTTCTGCCACACCCATTTTCTATTTCTAACAGAAACAATACTTTGTCAAATTAACCCTCTCAGGCTCAAATTACTTGCAAAGACTAGCTAAGTAGCATTTAGCTGTTGCAAATCTGCAACATCTGCCTAGAGAGGGTTAAAATAATTTTCATTCCAACTTTTTTTCTAATGCAAATTTACCACGGATATAAATAACTGAGTTTATCTGCATATTAGAGGATGTTACTACCTATTCTCTATTCCTTCCAGAAGAAAACAGGAGTAAATATACGTGAAATCCTGAAATGTTCCAACCTGTCCAGTGGAGCGTCCGCGTCCTTGTCCTCGCCCACGCCCCGTGTTTTTCTCCTCTTCTGATGAAGGACAGCGCTGCAGGTGGATGTCCAGCACCGACTGGTTGATGAACTGCGACGAGCAGTGAGGACAGGTCACCGGCTGCTTGTCTGCAACACAACATCGTCAGGTGTTACTATGTTCAAACATCTGGTCAGCTGATCCTCTCATAAGTATGTGTCTGTTTGCACACACTTATAATGGATTCATAATGAATGAAACAACAAAACATGTGTTGAATCCAGATGTTGTGACTCTCTGTTGTGTCTCTGTGGACGCTGTGGCGACTGATCCACACTAAATATTAATTAAATGCTAACAACACAAATCCCAGGTATAATTAGCGATCCTTTCACATGTCTATCAGGCATTTTTTAAAAACAATCCTAAAACGTTAGATATTAGCTTCATGGCAGTGCGACAACCAACCTCTCTTTTCCACCTACATCAAACCAATTGCTCCTCTTCAACAGCACAACCTGAATTTTACCACCAATATGCAACACAAAGAGAGAAGGTTTGCTTCTTTCAGAGGATGTAGATTCTATAACATTTATTGACTCCTTTAGAAACGTAAGAAATTAAAAATCCCTGATGAAAATCTTTGGGGCTCATAAATACATCTGTGCATGTTTGTGTCTAAAATCTTGAAAAAACTAAAAGCAGAGAAATATTTCATACCTTTTTTAAAAACTGATGATTTGGCATTATTTTCAGCTGTGGTTTAACTTCAATAAACATCTGCTAGCCTGCAGGGAGTCATTTGGTTTGATCAGGGATCATAATCCATCATGTTTACTGACAGTTAATAAGTGTTAATGTCTCTCAAACATTTCTAGAGTCAATGCAAGATTTCTGCAAGTTTCAGAAATGTAAATTTAATATTAATGTTACTGTTATGACATTTTATGTCATTTTATTTTTAGATGAATATATAGATATGTGTATCTGTTTGGTTGCTAGCTGTTTTTGTTTGACCTCGTGTCTGAAAACAAATTTATATCTTCTTAATAATCTTTATAATCATCATTACCTACATTTAAGACAAAATAATTACACTAAAGAAGTTAATCAAAATTTACTTGTGTCACAACTTACTAACTTTATGTAGTTGTTTATTTTAGGTGTTTTTTTGGTTCTGTGATGCGAGTTTTGTAACATATCGTTAATCCCTGAAGTGTCAAATTATAAAAACTTTGTACTTTGTTTATGTGATGTAGATGTGAGCCTGCTAATTCTTCTCTGTGTAATTTATTCAAAGCAGATGAGGAGGTGGAAACATGGTCAGACAAGGCTGCAGCTCACAGTGTAAATTCACAGTGACGACAGGATTTATATCAAGCAATAACATGTCAACAAAGTCACAATGGTTGGTCAGTGCATATGTGGACAAAATTGGTTCCTGTCCTGACTGGATAACCTACTAATGCATTACATTATTAAGATCGTCCGGAGACTCTTCTGAACAATTTGTTTCTTGTGCTGGTTTGATGCAGCTCAATGCCTTTAATGTGGACGCTGGGTCACAGATTATTTCACACTCCAGTAACTCCAGGATGACACTAACATAAGTATTCATACCCCTCATCCAGGCGTCCAGACCCCGACCTCAAATGGCAACTTTTCTACTTGAAGTCAAGTCAAACCTCCTAAAATCTTCAATTTTATTCCTGTTACGAAGGAACTGGTAGTTGATACAACCAAATACCAAACGACATATAATTTAGGAAACAGGAACAATTTCTTGATACTATTGAAAACTTAGCAGAAACCTTGATTTAAATTACTTAAATGTTTTCAGTTTTGGGACTTGGAGATTTTATGGATCCTAAACAAAGGGCCTAAATCCTGACTAACATAACAGAAACTCTGTTTATGTTTATTTCAGGACAGAAAATTTTTTTGTTTCATTACCTGATTTTATGATATTTTTATGTTTAAAAATTACACTGGTAACATCAAAGGGGAAGAAGGTTGTGATGTGTGTGCTTAATGTTGCAAAAAAACATACCATAAAAATGTGTGAAACACTTTAAATAGATGTGCTTATGGCTCCCAGCATTTTTATTTTAAGCACTGGCTGAATGACAAAGGTTTAAGTTAAAATCTTGAATTCAGTAATCAATTTGACAACCAAGATAATATTTGCTAATTCGATCATTAAAATTTTCTGGCAAAAGATTCTAATATTAAAAAATGACAGAAAAATCCCATCACAATACATAAATAAAAATATATTGGGTTAATTATTTTTTATTCCTTTAAAAACACTATAATAACTTAAACAATTTCAAAACATGAGAGAAAATTTCAGCATTCTAGAAAGTTAGAGTAAAGTAAGAAAAATATTTCTTAACTTTTAGCTTTCTTCTATACAAAAAAATAATTACACAACAAACAGACCACCACTAAGGGAAAATTTTGAAAAAACAACAGCCACAAAACAAAGGAAGAGCAGCTAACACGTGAAATAACTTTTTAACAAATATGAACACACATAAAATCACTTTCATTATATACTTTCAAATCCACAATCAAGACACTTTATTTAATGGGTTGTGAATAAGAAGGGTAGTGAATAAGACGTCTTATTCACAACCCGTGAAATAAAGTGCTACCAAGACAGTTAGGTTTAGTCTTTGAAATTCATAAACATCTAATTATGAAAGGTTTTATTTTCAATTCGTGCAAAGCAGCAAACTTAGTGGCACTTTGTGAAAGTTTCTTGCATTTCTTGTTTGTCAGTTTAGCATCCAGGCTCATCGATTCGTCACTATACAGCTGGTGTCCCAGATACATTTTGGCAAAGTAAACCAAACTCTCAGTGGGTCACTCTAGAAAAGATGGCAGAGGACTGCTGGCATTGATGGTCCTATCGTCATGTCCAAAGGCCATCATGCCAATATCTTGCAATCTGCTAACCATCTGCGATGTGTATCCCATTAGCGAGATGCACTCTGCTCCCTGCTGGGACCCTCTAATTAAACCTTTAATAAGGACAATCTCGGCTTAAAGCCTTGCACTGATCAATAGATCAATCTCTCCCATCATCTTTCTCAGTAGAGATGCATCCCTCTGACCTCTGCTGGACGCTGACTCCTCAAGCTTAACTAATGAGGTTGCAGCGCGAACACCCCTCTGATTAAGATGAAGTGTCAACATGTTGACCGAGTTCATTTACCTCCGCCCAGCTTCTCCGTTCCTCGTGGCACACAAATCAATTCAAAGTCTGTGACCTCATGCATCAGAAGAACAATGCGCATACAAAGCGGCCGCATGTGTGGAAATAAAAAACGATAGACCACCTACACAAGCCGACATGTTCATTTATCAAGTGTTTTGAATTAATCGATAGTAATTCAGTGTTTGCAGTACTGATAAGAACATCATCCCTGATTGATTTCCATTACGGTGAGCCATGGGCTTTCATTTGGTTTCTTGTTATGCTCGTCACATTCTGTCAATTTCTTACTCCTGCACAAAACCGCTAATCAAAGGCGAAAAACACCAAGGTTACAGAAGAGGTAAGCGCAGATTTAGAAACAAAACATTCAAACTCGCTCTGCCTCCATGCGACCTGTTAAGCTCACCTTGATGTATGAGTGAGTGAAGGTCCAGGTCCTTCCTGCGTTTGAACGGCTCTCCACATTCAGGGCAAGGGAACGGGTGGCTTGTGTGAAGCAATCTGTTCAGACAGACAGAGTTATGACGAAACTGTCATTCATTATGGGACAGGAAAGTTACATGTCAAAAAAGGCTCTGATTTTAGCAATTGATTATTCTGATTATTAATCGAATAAAATACTCTGAAATATTTCACAGAGTCCTCATTAGCCACTTAAACCTTTTTTTATCACGTCTGTCATCACAAAATGTATATATTAAACATATTTTAATAAACTTTGACGTTTATCTCTCTCATGCTTAACAGATAGATAAATTAAGAGAGGATGGATGGAAAAAAGGAAAAACAGACGGATGGGTTGGATTTAGATAATGGGAAACTGAAAATGCCAAATATTTTCTTCTGATACTGTAAAGTTTTCCCAACTTTACAGAGGCAGAAATTTAACCACTGGCGTATTGAAAATATGAGATTATCCTACTTAAAGACTATAAAGGTGACATTTCCAAACTACAGATGACTTTAAATAGATGGTTTTCTGGAGAAAGTGTTTGTTTTCTGGACGCAGAATGATCTTAACCATACAACCAGAGCTACAACAGAATGCTGCGATAAAATGGCCCTGTCAAAGATCTCAATCCAATCAATATCTTGTAACAAGACTTGAAAATTAACATTCCAAGATACACTCTGTTTAATCTGAATAAGTTGAAGGTATTTTGCAAAACATTTGGGTCACAAAAGCTGTTTTAGACAGTAAAATGTCCAGCTGTAAGTGTTTCTATAAACATGGCCTGGAAAATACGTCAATCAAATCCCAGATTTTTCCTGACTCAGTGGTAACTCAGAAATTAAACCTTAATGGTTTAATTTAAAAAGACAAGATCATCAAACCTACAAATATAAAAAACTCTGAAGACCGACTTTCCAAATTACAAACCTGTGAAAACCAGCTAGAAAAGTGATGGTTTGCTTTTCGCTACACTCGTGGGAGGATTATCAGCATGTGTGTACTTAGCCGTACTCCAGTTCAAATGAAGGCATTAGCTAAGCGTATAGCAGCTAAAGATAAAAGAACAGCAGTAAACGGGGAGGAGTTGCAGTTAGGACATGAAAGACTATATTTATCCATTGCATAACGTTACACCGAGTATAGCCTTAGGGGAGGAGAAAAGTGTTAGGATGTATTCACCTAATGCCGCATTAGGACTGTGAAGGACCATTAAAAAAAAAAAAAATGCTGCAGTTCCAGCAGTTTATCACCATCAGAACAAACATTTTAGAAACCATATCCTGATAGAAACTGTACCCACAAATTAGTCCCCATTAACTTATACAACAGTAGGTTGGTAGAAAAGATTAAATAAGTTGTACTAAAGGTGAAAAGCAAGGTGAGTGTTGGAAACCAGACGGTTTCTGTCGTCTGTTAAAAAGACAATCAGAAAAAATAACAGGGAGACCCGACGCTGAAGGAGTAAACACTTCTGAAAAGACATCTCTCCATCTTACCAGATATTCGTTTATACAAAGCAGACGTAAAAATCAACAGAAAACCTAGGATGGCTTTGATTGTGTGACTTTTTTCCTTTAAATCAATCATTCAAGTGATTTTAAATAAATGAAAATCAACACTGAAAATGTAAAATTGCTACTTTGTGTTTCACAAGATAGAGCATACAGCAGTATGGTGCATTCATCACAACAACTAATTAAGGACATACTGAAACTGTAAATGACATTATAATATATGAATTCATTAAAAAAGTGCTCTGAAAACTATTCATACTTTTCTTTTTATTACAGTAGAATCACTAATGTATTTCATATTTAGGGACAGCCGGGTCTCAAGTAACGTTTCTAAGTTAAATTTCAAAATATGAGCTGCAGACCCGTGTTAATGTGTCTCGCAACCCAGCTTTAGGATCCACTGCTATGAACGTTCTAGTTAATAACCATTAAGGGAGTCGTCCTTGGATAACATTTTTTAAAGGGGCAGCCATTAAAAAAATATTAACAAGAAAACCAAATGAACCATCTGTCCTTTGCTGTTGATTTGTTTCAGCTAATCAGATCAATGGAGTACAGCCAGCTTGAAAAAAATCCATCCTGCCAAAATCATTTCAGAGACGATTTATTAAAAAAAATATAATATTTTTTTCCTATATATATATATATATATATAAAAATAACCGAGGCAACCTCTTTGCTGAAAGTGTGCATGAATGAAAATTAAACGCAGAATTTGGTCTGACTCCATAAAAAGGAGCAAGTTCTTTATTTAAAAGGCGTGCAGTATTGGGTAAACAGAATTGAGTCCAGATAATTTTTTCATGATTTTACAGACTTGTAAAATCATGAAACCCATTTCAAAAAATGGGTTTTTGAAATGATTGTCACTTTTTTATGTTTTCTGGCTTTTTACATATTTATATTTAGTAATTTAAGCGCCAAGGTACATGTTTAATTTCACTGCATTTGTATCAACAAGAGAAAATTGAGTGCAAATGTAAGTCATCGTTTCTTTTCTTCCAAATTTGTATTACAAACACACACTGTAGTGTTGATATTCTCGCCGCACGTCAGCGAAGTAGGATATGACCAGGCTGGTCCATCTTCCTGTTATCATTATAATCTTAATTTACTGAGCCTCCAGCTGCCAATCACATGCAGGCTCTGGCTCAAAGGAGCCCAGACATCTGCATGTCTGCTGCACAGCTTAAAGGTCGAGCACAGCATTTGGACACAGCTCAGTTCTCACGGTTCCTGTCGAGAGGAGGCAAGGTTATCTAAATCCTGTCCTGGCTCTATATTTGAAATGTAAACAGAGTTCAGAAAATGATTGAATACCCACAACCACATGACACAGTGTAGTCTGGAGCAGACATACGGTCCAAAAGATATAATAATAATAATAACAACAACAGGAGGAGGAGAGGGTTATTACCTGTGGTCATTAAGCTGTTCTTCAGTGCTGAAGTGTGAGGGACAGTTTGGACAAGCAAAGAGAGCAGTGCCGTCACTGTCAACGCTACACGCCTGTGATGACAGACACAATAGTCCCGATCAATAAAAAAGCAATTTCCCCACGTTATCATTGTGAAAAATAGATTTTTCCTATTAGAAAGCTGAAACATCTTTCAACTTTTCTACATGTTTAGATGTTACAACAAAATTTTATGCATTTTATGTGACAGACCAAAAACAAGTTCCATAGAAAACTGGAAGGAAAAGGACACATGTGGTTTTTAAGTGTTTGTAGCAAAACACTTAAAAAGAGAGGACGGAATTTCTTTTCTTTGATACCCTAAAATATAATCTGCTACAAATAACTAATTAGTAATTAGTAAACAGAGTTGATATGTTTGTAAATAAATCTCAATCCATAGGTTCATGGTAACTCTGGAGGAGCTGCAGAGATTCACAGCTCAGTTCAGAGAATTTATTGACAGAACAAATGTGGCAAAGAAAAAAAATAACCCTGCAGTAACCATTCCTACAGTGAAGCAGGATGGTGCCAGCACTATGCTGTGGGGATTCTGTTCTCCAGCAAGAGAGTGAAACAAGAAGACGTGAAACAGGAACTCCAGCATGCATCCAGGACTGTCTGTCATATAATAGTTTATAATATAATAGTTTTTAATTGTAAGAAGAAAGTCCTGCCCTAAGTCCAATCGAAAATCAGAAACATTTGCAAATTGATCTTCATAGAGTCCCCTCCATTTAATTTGAAGAGTATTTGGATCTCTACCTGTGTAACACTGTTAGACACACAGGTCTAACTGCAGGAGAAATGTCATTCTACAAAGAACTGACTCAGTGACTTGAACACAAATTTAAGCCACATTTTCCAGACATCTGTTACTGAATGAAAAATAATTTTAAAAAGGGTTCAGATTTCATTGGCCTCCATAAGTATTTGCTATGATGGATCATTAGGACCATCCAAAAGAAAAATAAATTACAAAAATAAATTCAAAGTAATATTAGAATAAAATTGTGAAATAAAGATATAACATTATGAGCATAAAATCAAACAACTTAATAATAACAGACGAATCAAGCCAATATTTTGAGAATAAAGTCATAATATTTTGAGATTATAGTCATAATATTAAGAGTTTATTCTAGATTATATTTTTTCATTTTCTTAACATACTCCATCATAATTTGTCAATTTCTGGTTTATCACATAAAATCTTATCAAAACACATTTTGGTTTGTGGAGACAACATGTACAAAACTCTGAGTATAAATTACTTTTGCAGAGCCCTGCAACTCAGAAAGCTTCACATTTCAGAACCGGTGTTTTGAGGAGAAAAAGATAAAAGCGTTTACTGGTTTGCGTCCTCTCTTGCGCGGAGGCTCCGTTGACGAGTGAATGAGGTGATGTCTTTTAAGGGTGGTTGCCTGCGAGAAGCTTTTCCCACAAACGTCGCAGCAGAAGGGCTTGTTGCCTGTGTGGTTCATGCTGTGGCGCAGCAGGCTCTGGGAATTGGTGAATGACTTTGTGCACACCTTCACAACAACAATGAGGATTAGTCAGATATACACGATTATAGGAGTTTTAATTACTTGCTGGGAAACAAAGACACGTCCATAGTCAGGTGCAACAATGAAAAGGCTCTCTTGACAAATTATAAATGATGTTTTTGACTATAAAACAACTGAAAATGTGATGCTATTTTTTTTTTTTTTTTTTTGCAATGATGAAATCCTTTCATCCTCATCATAAAAGCCTTCACAACTCGTGGGGAATTTTTCTTTTTTTTCTGTTATAAAATCTGTAGTTTTTCCACGGATGCCCACACCTGGTAGACTGCATATATGTACGCTTAATCAAAATCTAATTTTTAAAACATTTCCTGTTGTTCAAAGACACAGGGGGACCTGTCAGATTTAATGAGCCCTGTAGTTCAAACTGTGTCATCTTCCACACTTAGAAGTATTACATCATCTCATCAAAGTCAGCCACACAACCTAAATGATCTTTACATCAAAGCAAATCATCCCTCAGGTTCAGGGAAAGGGACACTTTGATTAGGCTTTCTGACTGGCACCTTGCATGTGAAGAGCTTCTCTCCGGTGTGGCTGTAGACATGGGTGCGGAGGAAGACGCGCCGGGTGAAGGTTTTGCCGCAGTAGGGGCACACATGGGGCAGCGGCGTTCTGGCCCAGTCTTGCAGCAACTTGGCAGGTGGAGGCTGGTTTGTGTTGTTCGTGTCGCCTGCACCGCTGCCCTCCAAGTCATCTTTGGAGGCTTTGGTTCCTGATCATAGAAGACATGATGTGTTGAGCAGGATGACATCATTTTTTGCATTATAGTGCCAAGCAAAGTATTTATAGACAAGTAAGGAAATTGAGATGTGCCATTAAGAAATGTCAATGTATTTTATTGGGATTTTATGAGATGTGCCAAAAAAGCTGTCAAGATTAAAGGAATATTGTGGTTTTCAAATTAAACCCAAAAAGTGCACTGACATTCAGACTGTCTCTGGTAGTTGTAAATAAAATCCAGACAAGGCAAGTAACAGCCAAACGTCTCAGTCATTAGCTGTCCAAACCTGGCAGAGACTGATGTCCCAAAACACTTGCAGTTTTCATTGTGGCGAATGATGATTCCACAAAGTATTGTCTCACATGAAAGAGATTGAATGCAAATGCATTGCACACAAAACATGTTTTTAAATAATCTATCATTTGTAGCGTTGCACCGATTGCAGTGTTTTGGCCGATTAACCATCTTTAAAAAGTCTGACTGGCTGGTGCTAATTTATTTTGTCTGAAATGCCGCAAAACATAGCAATAACAATGCAATGAGCTGGCAACAGTGGGGTGAATATTGTTAACTGCAAACGAGCAGACATGCCCCGGTGAGCCGATCTTCACTTACATGTGAAGATTGGCTTCACAGCTAAGTATCGATCGATCACTGATCGCCCAAAAAGATTGGTGCCAATTAAGAAAATTGGCACCGACAAATTGTCTAAATTTGCTCCCCAAATCATTTTCTATTAACTTAGAAAGCTGCATTAAAATGTATCAAATAAAAGTAAAAAGGTATGAGTACATTTGCCAAACTGCAATGATTTCCACTGACCTTGTAGTGAACTGGCACTTAGGATCCTGAATGAAGGCCGGCCCCTCTTCGGAACGGGAGACCCCGATTCCCCAGCAGAGGGTGAAAGCAGTCTCTTTGAGTTCTGCACACCGTCCTCACTGCTGATAGGGGCCGATTCGTCGCTTACTTCAACCTCATGAGTCTCCTCGCTCTCTGAGGTGAAGCGATGCTGCAACCGGTGGTACAGGAACTGAGTCGTGTTCATGAAGTCGTCTCCACAGTGGGAACAGGTGTGCAGCGGCTCGCTGAGGCTGTGCTTCTCCTTTCGATGTTTCACCAGGCCTTTATCGTCTCCAAAGCTCTCCCCACAGTGGGTACAGAAGAACAACTCGGGTTGTGTAAACATGTGTGTCACTGTGCTGGAAGAAGAAACGCCATCCTGCGCACTGCCCCCGTTGTTTAGAGCGTAAACCTCCGGTGTGACTTCAGGGGCCACTGCTACCGTCTCCTCGCCCTTCTGCCTGTGCTGCTTGCGATGATAGAGGAAGAGCGTGGTGTTCAGAAAACTTTCTCCGCACACAGAGCAGCGGTGCAGAGCCTCCTCAAAGCCGTGCTGGGTCTTACGGTGGGACACCAGCTCAGACACCAGACCGAAACACGAGCCGCAATCAACACACAGCAACACTGGCTCTGGCTTTGGCTTCTTGGTTATGCCTCTCCTCCTTGGAGACGAATCATCCGAAGCAGAAACCTCAGCAACAAGACCTTCTGGGGTCTGAGACGAGGAGGTCTCTGGAGCTTGCGTCTCACTTCCATCCTCAGTGTTCTCCTCTGGTTCTGGTTGGATGGTGTTACTGCTTTCACTCTGTGGGGCAGAAGTATCATCTTGACCAGCTACTGCGGCCTGGCTCTCACAGGCCTCCGGCTCACTGTTGGGGTCCGGTGCTGATTTGGACCCAGCTTGTTCACACGTTCCTTCTTTACGATGCTGCTGCCACTCTTCGAGGCTCTTGAAAAGTTTATCGCAATCCCCACACTGGTAAAGGATTCGGGGCTGGTCTGTTATTTGCCGTTCGGCGTCTGAAATGTCCTCCAGTTCTTTCTTGATACTCTGCACAGAGGGAAGAAGCGACTGGGCTTCAACCTGATGCACGGCGCTTTCTGAGGCGTCGCCCTGTGAGCCATCTCCCTGTTGGTCCACCACTCCCCTGGAGATGTTTATTACATGTTGCTGTGAAAAAGAGAACAAATAATTTTTCAATTTTTCAATGTTTCATACAACCTTCATTTCTTTTATTTTATTTATACCTTTTTTCATTAATTAAATCCATCCTGCAGTGTTCATCTTTACATCTTATTTCTCTTAAAGGATACTTTCTTTGACAGATTAGGATAGGTCTATGGGCTATATAAAACATATTCATTACATATTTTGCACAAAATCATTCTTGTATAATGCGATTTCAGCATGGGCAGTTCTACCTATTTTTAGTTCTTTTCAGCATGATCTCTTTTAAGGTGTCTTGGTACTTTAAATCAAAATAAACTGATGCTGACCACACCCCCAACTCAACGTTTTCATATGTGAAAATGGTTGAAAATATATCTGCAATTCTACAATCGTACATTCGTGAAAAGTAGAAGTAGAGCCTTTTGCACAACAACACAAATGCATGAAGTGGTTTCTGAATGGTAAGTAAACAACTAATCACTTGTCTTTTTCAGCAGCCACTGTATAGTGCATAAAGGGTAAAACCAGCTGACCAAACATGCTGGAGTTCAGCTTGTATTGCTATGTAACTGGGTAGTGCCACTTAAATATGCCTGAACAATCAAGAGGTTTTTGAAACAGCTTATTTTCCAGACACCGAAAAACGGCTCTTGGAGTGTTTTTAGAAGCACTTGAAACCTAAATGGATGTAAAAATGTAAATTTTGCACAATACGTCAGTGAGAAATGACCATTCATTGTTGGGGAATGTATGTACAAACAAGGTTTCTCTGAGAGGGCTCACTCTGTGAGTCAACACTCAGAAGAGCCCTTGATGTTGAAGAGGTCACTCCATGGGGTTTCATCCACTTATATAACAACAGAAAGAACATCGAGGTCAATGAAATTCTGGAGCTGCTTCAATCAGTCCAGTTCAACATGAGTCAGAGACTAATGATATGTGGTGTGTAGTGATATTCGGATGTATGAGCCATAAAGGCCACCTTCAGAAGTCGTCCGGCCATTTCAAAAAGCCTCTTGATTGTAATCACATCTTAAAATTAATGTGCATTTTAATTCAAAAGGACTACTGACTCCTAATAAACAGGAAGTGAGTCACATGCTGTACCCTCTATTGATAACTTGAACTCAAGACTTCCACAATATACTAGCAATAATGATAGTATTTCTTTAAAGTACGACTGGTTAAAACCTTCTGAATACATTTAATGCTTAGAAACCATTTCGGGCATCAATTCAGCTGAGATGTGGTGCTGTTGTTGCTAGGGAAACTCTTCAAGTGAAGTGAATACAACTGCAGTTGGAGTCCCTAATTACTGCAAAGCAGGTAATTAAACAGGAAGCAGTGCGAAAAAAAATGCAAAAGCAAATGCAAATTAAGAACCGCCTGCTGCGCCATTAGACAGCAAGATTGTCATCAAACCTTTAGCCTCGCTATTGTTATGTGCATATCACCAGTTCTCAAAATAAAAAAAATGATAAAAAAAGTGAAATTTATATTTTAAAGGGGTTGAGGGATTGCTTTTTAGTTGTACTTATTTTTTTCATTTTGTCACATAGTCACTAGTACTTAATGTGACAAATCAAAGTAGTGCATAATTCCAAATAACAGGCAAAATAAAATTTGAAGGGGTTTGTTTTTAAGTTAAAGTAAAAGGAAGTGTAGCATGTGTTTGTATTCTATTTTGTTTTACTGCAAGTACAACTCCAATTTTCCGTCAGGAATCGGCAAATTTACACACTGAAAAAAATTCTTGACTGGATTTTGGAGAAAATTTAACAATCGTACACTTTCACCTAAAATGTTAAGGTGGTGTTAGAGCTGCTGTCCTGGTGTAATCCTGCTACAGGCTCAAGTCTTACCAGATTCTTCTTATCTTGCTTAAGCAAACTGCATGATGCATCCACCCATGTTGGGTGGATGTATCCACCCAACATGAGGCAATGTTTGTTTACCATCATGTAATGGGCTTTGCATGTAGCCTGACAAAGGTCACGCTTGGTCTCCTAAGAACCAGAGCATCTTCTATGAAAAAGGCCGGATTGGTGGAGTTGTCCTGTTAACACATTACATTAAACAGGCCACATTTTTCTAATTTTGAAAACTTTGCATTATTTTCCTCCCACTTGATAATCATGCATTTTTCTGAGTTATTTTGCCAAAGAATTTCATTAAAAAACTAAATTTGTGGTGGTTGTAACAAAATGGAAAGGTGAACAGGTATGAATACTTTCCAAGGTAATGTAATGCACTTTGTGTGTCTCTTCATATTAATGTTATTTTGTTGTTTGAATTGTTTACCACTGAGGCAATAGTAAACCCTCAAATAATCATTATATCTCTTACAACTTCTTAAGAGTTTTGCATCCGCAAAGTGATAATTTTTTTCTAGAACTACTCACTATTTGATTTAATAAAAATATTTCTAGGAGAGTTACAGATTTTGTACAAAGTTATAAAGAAAGTTATGCCACATCCACACGAAGACTGCAGATCAATATTATGACTGTCCCACTAAGACAATAATGGATGAAAATCTCGTACCTGTGAATCTCGTTCTTTCGATATCCACCCAGATCTTATGACTGTAGGAACATCTATAAATTAGGAGCTTCACTCTGATTTCTTTTTTCCAATCACACCAGTAAAAAGTAAATTAATTTTATAATTTACTTATTAAAGTAAATTAAAATAATAAAATGAAAAGATAAAGGAAGAGCTGGGGGAACAAATCAGTTTAATTCTGAAAAAAATTCAATTAAAAGCTAATTCTGACTTTCTGCAAAGAGATCTGCACAGTGTTCTCTGCTGACACGCTGTACGTTAACAACCAGAGTTTAAATTAACGTCACATTACAGCGACGGAAATTACAACAGCTAATGCAGAGTGTAGACACGCAATAAACCTACTTATGGCAAATCATGTGCCAGGAAGCCATAAGCTACGAAGGGTTTATAGCGTTTCTCCAGCTGCTTCATCCATGAGAAGGCCAACGAATGATCCGTCAGGAGAAAGAGCGGCACTGACTGGAGCATTTCTCATGCCCCTCTTCCTGCTGGCGACTCAGGACGCAATCTGTCTGTCACAAGTGTCACAGTGTTTTATAGACGCATGTTTAAGACTGTAAAGGATGGAAGTCCGGGCACAAGCTCAGACAGCCATGCCCTGAAGCTAAATGAGGGCCAGAGACTGCTTTTAACCCCGAGGGCTTTTTGAAACTGTCAGGAGAAAGGCAAAATAATAAAGTGCCACATTTGTCCCGACACTCAGCTCAATCTGTCCAGGTTTAGTACAAAAAAAAAAACAAGAAACCTTATTTTAGAACACTGAAATGTTGCTCTGTCTGAATAAACTCCACAACAGGGTTGTGTAAATGGAGCACAGCAGAAAATAAAAACAGGAACGCATCATGAAAAACAAAATCTGTATGAGTCTCAATTGTAAATGTGGCCAAATTTTGGATCAACATATTGAAAAACAAGAGGATGTAGAATAAATCCAGAAACAGTGACACATATAGTGGACTCACCCACAGAAGAACTGGATCATCCCAGATTTCTAAAGCAGCAGACTGTTCATTATAACTGAATCATGGGGAACATTCTGGTGATTCATCTGAACTCGACGGATATCATGTAAATGTGCCACTGTGTACCTCAATCTGGCCTCCATCTTTGATTATGTACTCCTCTTCTGCCACTGATCTCTTTGCCTTTTTCATCTGCAGTAAAGTCAATAGAAGCTAAATAATGAAGTAGTACTTACTCATACTTCTCTAACTTGTGCTTTGAGAAGCTGCCCTGTTATTTCTACATTAAACTCTTGCACACCAATTTCTACCAACAACATGTATGCATGTCTTATAGCTTCCTTTAATGAACTTTATAATCACTCCTCCTCCAGCATTATACACAGCTTTGTCTCATTAGTGACTCGTTACTTTAGTAAACAATGTGCTAATGAGTAATTGGTTGGTGAGAAAGCAAAACCAAGTAATTTTAAGTCAAATTATATGCATACATTAATAAAAAAGCTTAGTATAACCTTGGGTGAAAAGCAGAAATATGCTCTTTTAATGTCCTCTAAGGGAAAGCAGATGCAGCTGTTTGACTGGGAGTGGATGAAACTTTCGGGTGTTTGACCCAAAAAATCATAAATAAACTAATAAATATTTGTGCATTTTAAGTGTTCCAGCAGAAAAGAAAATCAATAATATTAAGTTACTACTGTTGAGTGGCAAAGGGTAATTGAAAAGTTTTTAAATAACGGGTCGAAAGGTCTTGTCACTGCCGCTTGCCTCTAATGAAGAGGATAAAGAACATATAAACCTTACTGAGCTTCCAGGAACTTTCTTATTAGCACTGTTTGTTTATTTACACCACTGAAATGTTCTAAATAAACATTTCAGCATAAATGTTAAATTTATACTATTGTGTAGCTTTTTTTCCAAATGTTTCTTGCCTTTTTGGGGAAACGTTATGTTGTATTTTATAAACTAAGCTAATTATTTTTTAAATATGTTTTTCCTCATAAAGCAGATTCAGGATAAAACAGAAATAAGATATATGTTTATTTATCATTGCTCTACTTCAGAAGAGGAAGGCTAAAGTTGCAGAGCCTTCCATAGTCCTACACTTTTCTTTCATTTACCAAAATACCAAGTCTGTTTCCGGAAAATATTACAGGCACAACTCATCACACTAATTCAGGTTATGGTGTGTTAATACTACAATTAACTAATTACTCGCAAAGTCTCTGCAAACTGGCTCCCTTAGCAAATAACCTGACTAGTTAACTAGTAACATCTTGCTATGGATGTGTTTCTGAAGCAGAATAATAATGTGTATATTAACGCTATCTGCAAAGTTCCTACAAATTTCTAATTTGACAAAAGCTTTTCCAAGCTGAGATCAGAAGTTGCAGAAAATGCACATTTTAATATATATATATATATATATTAAATTATTATTATTATTTTATTTTTTATGATTTTACTTCATGTACGTTTCATTGGTTGTAGATTTTTGTAGTAAGCTCATTAAACCGGTGACACATTGTGCTGTGAAATACAAAAGTGTTAAGATGTTTGCTTTGTGTCTGAAACCCTAAAAGGCAAAACCCAGTTTTGCGACCTACAGCCAAAGCGCTCTCACTATGGATGTGATGCCATTCCCTGCTCCAAGCTCATAAAACACAATGCTGCAGTTGACTTAATATCCAACTGTTTTTTTTTTTTTACATTTCAGTTTAGCAACTTCTACCTTTTTCAGAACAAAATACTTCAAAATTGCAACACAAAACAAAAAAATATCTTGTATACAATAAAAAAATCTCATATTTTTCCATTACTCACAATTCATAAAGTTCTGCTGGTTAATCTGAGGTCAAAATTATAACATCAAAGTACATCTAAATCAGATAATAATGTGAAGTGACCCTTTAAAATGAGCCAGTAAATAACCACAAACATCTCAATGTTAAGTGCTTAAGTGATCCCTCCAAGGTCACCATTAGTATGATGGGTAGCAGGAAACTGTATTTCATGACCACAGATTCACTTGTCAGCTCAATGTCAGTCTCTAAATACGATTCAGAGGTCTTGCGGGATCATTTAATGACAAACAGCTAAAACACATATTTTATTGCTTGTGTTTCCAAGTTAAAACCCACATGAATAGCAACACATTGAAATCAAAGGAACCTGGTGCCGCATGTTTTCAGTGCTTACCTGTGTCTGCAGCACTGGAACGTCAGCAGGGGCAGCTCCAGATGAGCTGGATTGATCCTCTTCAGCGGTGCATGTCAGCTGGTGCTGAAGGACTTCTTCTAGAGTATTAAACTCCTGGTAGCAGGGGAAGCACATGTACACCGAGGTAGTCTCCATAACTGGTGGGGGAAACACATAATAAACATTTCATAAGAAATGCAGAAATACACAACTGGCTGAGATGGAAGATAAAAAAAAAAAAAAGGTGCAACAGTTCACAAAACGAATCCATGCTTTGAATATTTGAGAAAGATCTCTACGTGAAGCTTATACAAATTCTCCCAGCAATGCATCTTAAGTTTGGTTGTGAACATTGCCCTCTCCTGATAAAAAGGAGTGTGTGCAACTTTAAGGAAGCCTGGGAGCAAAAGCCAAGATTTCCTGAAGTTGCCAAGATGACTCATCGCGTAGTGAGCCTGAGCTGATTGTTATTTTCACCAAGCAGGTCGCTGCTCAAGTGGAGACCTCACACACTTCATCCCCCTGGCTCTCTGTCTGTCTGCTTCATTTCATGGTCTGAGCCGAAATTTGTCCTAAACATCAATTAGAAACGTATTGTAATTGGTCTCAGTGGAGGTGCAGTCAGGCTCATGCTGCTGCTGAGAGGGGCAACAATCAAAACACAATCTCTGCAGCGTTTCCTATCCAATCAAACCACATGGTGCATAAAATACGGGTAAAAAAGCTTCAGATCGGAAAGGCTCTTTAATTTACTAACATTAATATAGAAATATGAAGACGCAGCAGATATTCTGTGATCAATATTTTGTTGGAAAGTCTGATGAAAGATCTTTAAATAATTCAGCAAGAGTTTATCTTTTTGGGCAGTAAAATCTGCTCCAGAGTTTGCTCCAAATGCAAAAGCACATCTTTGAAAATAAGTGTTGAGGTTTAAACAGTTTGCTATGGTTTTAACAGTGAGATGCATGTGAAAATACATTTGCTGCATTCAGTTCATTTCAAAAGCTTTCAAATATAAGTAATCAGTAGAATTGGCATTTTAAAAGTCAAAGTTTGCTGAAAATGTATAAGAATAAACATCTGCAAATGTTGCATTTTATCACTATGACTAAGCTCCGTGGTTTGCTACTTTTACAAATTGAACTGGAACACATGTAGGAAAAAAACTAAGAGTGATAAAATTTTTATTAAGCTAGTGGAAGAACAATTATGGATCAGATGTTTCTGATTTCAAAGGTTCTTAAGCGCTTTCTCAGACAGTTCAAAAAGAAAATATAATTCTGTTCATCACTGCATTTTAGATTTTAAACAAAGTTTGTTTGAATAGAAACAAACCTTGTTGTGTTTTTACACACTTATCAAAGAGATTAGTAATGCGCCAGTCATGGAAATCCAATAACTGTTGCTTGACTGACTGAATGGCAGCTCAGATAATGAAGAATGTAATTCATTTTTTTCCTCGTCATCAAATGCATTAAAACAAACAAAAAATATTTCCACAAACAGCATTTTGTTTGATAAATTTTGTTTTAGATTTAGTAAAAATTAGATGCATGTTCAGTTTCTATTGGATTCAAAGGTGTATATTAAGCAACTTTTTCCATTTTTAATTTAATGGACTATGTTTATCATTTTAAATCAAGTTAAAGTTGAGTTTATGTTATAATCCCTGCAAACATAATCATAACTAGCTCAAAAGGGATCAGTTCGTAATGTCTATGGTCTTATAGTGGCAAGACATTGGAGAAAAAAGCATCAATTAACATTAACACATTGCTTTTAATGTTTGTAACATTAAAAGCAATGTGTTAATGTTGCTTTTAAAATATTGCTTTTTAGAAGCAATGTTTTAAAATGCAGTAGCATTTTCAAATTCAAATGTTAGTTAATTTGAAAAACAGAAATTCTAATTCAGTAGCAGCACATTTAACCCTTTTTGGTCTGTATGTAAAGTGTCAATTAACAACAAATATAATACCTAAGAAAAAACGCCTCAAGCTCATACCAATTATTTGGAAACCAATTTGGTTCAGATTTAATTGGATGTGATTTCACATCCAATTAAATCCAATCATATTGTTAGATACATTTCCAATTACACAGTGACATCTGATCCCGCACTAGTGCAAGTTTATGTTTATTGAGATCCTCATTAGCATCAGCTGCATCTGCTATTCTTCCTGGGGTCAGTTTACAATCTACTACAAGCCTCCTAAGTCTGAATAGAGAAGTAAATGCATAAGTTTCAAAATAGATTGAACATTTTAAAATAAAATGGACAAAAATAAACAAGCTAATTCTTCAATAAAGACTTTTTTTTAAACTTCTGCTTCATTCAGGATCAATTTTCAAATGCATATTACTCTTCTCCACTGTTTTGCTATTGATCTTTAAATCTACATGCCTTTGCACCTTCCATTGCATGTTATTACAGAAATGCTATGCGATCAAGGGGAAGACTAGAAACTTGACAACTGTCCTGAATAAACAACCATTTTAAAAATTAGGGTAAGCCACAAAACCTCATTGCTTAAAAAAAGATTAATCAATGAGTACATAAGCAGAAAGTTGTGTGAAAGGAAGAAATTTGGTAGAAATTAGGGCTGTAGTTAAAATCATTTTACCAATTAAGTACTTTATTAATTATTCTGGCAATTAATTTGAGTCACTGGATAAAAAAAATGAATCTTACCCTGTTCTAACATATATACATTCCCTACTGTTATTCGTTTCAAATGTTTAATGTTTAAACTTCCTCCTATTCATTTTCACCAAACAAGTGGTGTATGTATTGGAGTATTTAAATTTGGTAATATTTTATTTACACTTAGAAATATGAAAGTTTTACTTCTATTATTATTATTTGTTGGTGAAATGTCTGCCTGAAATAAATTATCATAATTTATTTTGAAGAATGTTTATTTATAGAAGTGTTTTTTCTACCTGAAAGCATTTTGTAATTACTATTTTTTTCATTTTAGTTTGTAAAATACCAGAATTTGCACATTACTTTTATATTTTTGCATTTGTGGTGACATCGTTTTATAATATGACATCAGATGTTATCAGTTATTCAATTGCATTTTTACAAAAGATAGTTTTATTTCAATAACTTCTTGGAAGGTTACTTTTTATTTTCCTTGAGTAAAAATGTAATGCTATTCTTACTTGAGTACAACTTTTGGGTACTCTACCTACCTCTGGTTGAATGTAATATTCAGTTTCTGAGAATTGCAAGCGTTAATTGACTAATATTGAAATAAAATTACAGTGTGTTATGCATCTGTACAATACTTTTTGAAATGAATGACTGAAACAAGTTAAACTTCTCAATAATATACTAATTTATTGAGTGCAACAAACATGTTTTATTGTGAAAATGTACATTTATTGCATTTATTTGAAGTTGTTCTATCTGCTCACATTTTATAATAGTTCCTATAGCTACTACCTACACCTTACGAAACATCTTCATTTATTCTTGTTGATACTCTACAATAAAAATAACAATGTAGCGTGGGGAAGGTTAACGCTAACATGTAACTGATTCAAAAGTAACAAGTTAGCAATGAAGAGGCCATAAAACTGGTGTATTATGAACACTATTTGTTGCAGTTGGGAGTCTTTATGCAGCTTCAAGGTATAAATAAGATGTGAACTGAACCTTAATGGACTCATTGTGGTACCAATCCTAAGCTAGGGGATTTGTCATATTAGTGTGAAGGATGACCTAATGGCAGCCAACACTGTGTTTACTGCTTAGCTAGTGTCAGCTGCCGACTGACAAGAGGGCAAAACTGTCAAACAATTAAACATTGATTACATTCCATCAGCATAAATGACTTCTAAATGCTAGCATAGTGTCAAGCCCTTGTGTTTCCGTGTTGCTGGGTGTCCGATCAGCAGCGACAGCCAGCTAAGATGACCGTTCAAATGCAGGCTAAACGGGGCTAGCAGCCGTTAAAGACGGTGGCTTTATCTATGAGCACAGCAGCACTGCTAACATGGCCATCTTTTTTGTAACATGGCTAACGTGTCCCCGGCGTGGCAGACGGCTTCTGCCGCCAGCTTTAGCCCTCTTTACGAGGGTCGAAGCCACATTAGCCGGAGTCGGTGCCCCGTTTAACAACTTGTACTAGTGCCGCTTACTTTCTGATACCGAGGAGAAGAAGAAGAAAAGACTCAAGAAGGAGGGCGGGATGTGCTTCTTCGGTGGTATAATGGCGGCGTCAGACTAAAAGTTAACATTAGCTGTCTCCCCCCGTTGAAATCCTCCATATGCAGTCACCACAAGTAAATGTAGCAATGCGACATTTTTTTTAACGAAAAACAACGACTGCAGCTTAAAATAAGTAAAAAATAATATAACAAAACTCACCGCAGACATACGTTAGTGGTCGAGGAGGAAATAGAACAACTTCAGCTTTTTCTCCTTCTTGATAGGCTCAACCTGATTGGCGGAATTTGTCTCTTTGTCCACCAATAGGATTCAACTTTACAAACTGCAAGGATTTTGTAGTCCAAAGCCCGCCACCATCAACGACAGTGCTGTAGGAGTAGATTCATTCAAAAATATAGATTATATTTTTTTGTAGAAAATTAGATCTTTTTATATTTAAAACACCTGCAGACGTTTTTTATGATCCACAGGACTAATCTTTCATTTAACTATCCAGAAAAATGTTCACATAGCAACACAAAATATGCTTGACAATAAAAAAATCATTCATCATTTTGTTTGGCTACCTATCTCAACACCTGGATTTACACCTGCGCTTGTAAATTCACCTGAGTTTCTGGGTCTGGTTTGAATTAAGAAATATTACACCCATCCATCAGTAAATCCAGCCATTTATTCATTTGCAGGTTCTGCATTTACAATCTGACCAATATGGAAATATCATAAAAGGTCAATGGTTCAAATATTTACCAAGAAAAATATTGAGCCTGGAACACTCAATTTGCCACTACAAAAAACATTAGTAGTGGCCTGAATTGAAAGTGACTGGATTATTAATCTTTTCATTATTCTTAGTCTTATCTATTACAAAGTGTCTTTTGTGATAAGGGCCCTGCATGTGTTTCTCCAAAACCCTCATGGTAAATCTGTGGTTCAGCTAAAACTTAATTAACACAGTAAAATCAAGCCAAATAGCAGATACACCTAAAACAGCCAAAAAGAGTGTAGTGGGGGAAAAACTAAGTTAAATTCACAATGCATCCAGGTAAAAATGTTTCAACAAAGATGAACAAAATGACTCAAAAGTTAAAAAAAAACATTAAAAAAAATAAAATAAAAAATAAATAATGAAATCATTGTAGGACTAAACAAAATGTTCTGTTCATTAAATGAAGACATAAAAGGATTGCTTGTGTGTTTTTCACTGGACTAAAGCTACCAATTTTCATGTAAGTGTATAAAAAAGTAACAAGCAATACATTTAAAATTGTGAAATAAATCCAGGACTGGAAGTCATTTATGGTGTGCTGTAGATGACAAGAGTTTGGGGGGGATTTAGTGATAAACATGATACAAATACTTAAAAAAATAAAATACATGAAAGTGGAAGAAATAATTAACAAAAATGCTGAAAGTTCACTGAGAACATGTAACGTCCCTTGGACTGTTTTGTCCATTTGACCTGGGAACTGGTCAATGTTCCCACCATTTCATCAAAATGCATGTTCATTCAGAAAGTAAGTGGTTATAATTGTGCTGCATGTGTTGAATCTCCTGGAACTGGATCGATGTGGGTTTTTTTTTTAGCTTGGTGAAACATTATTTGAAGGTTCTGAGATCATATTTTTAATAAAGTGATGTTAATAACTGGAATGAATCCCCTCAGAGGGCTGATAAACTTGACTATTTTCCCAAACACTTATTAAATTACCCTTGCTGAGGGTGAGGACAGCCAGCTGTTTGGTGTATCTCATTTCTGCTTCGTCAGGCATTCTCCACCCAGGTCAGTTCATGCATAGACTGGTATACTCCACTAATTTCCAAGAATGTGCTGCCTGTGGCCACCGTCTGATTGAAAAGATGAGCAGCTCTGTCGGACTGCTTAACCCGACTCCAAATGGTATTAAAAAGCTGGCCGGGCATTCTGCCAGAGAAATCACTTATTGGCTCCACAAAAACTGTCCAATCTGAGCAGCACACTGCAGAACAGCATCATTCAACCTTGTCATATCATATCAGCATGATGACAGCTTAGCAGGCAGGCTTTTCATAGGAGGTTACGCTTCAGAGACTGCAGCTCCCTGGAGAAAGAGGAAGTGTTGTCAGACCGCATTGATTGCTCTGCAGCTTCACCTCCATGGTCTTTTTGTTTTGCCAACATCCGTGTATCTGTTGCAGTACAAGCTTTTTTTTTTTTTCATGAACTCAAGAGTAATATGTATGCGTTAGTCCAGTAAAAAGTCACTTTTCTGACTAGATTACACTGACTTACCAGAAACAATATGTTCACACCATCAGCACAAACACTGATTTGGTCATTTGGTCTGGGAGTGGGGCCCAAGTTTAACTTACCAAACTTAAAAACATTAACTGTCAATTGGCTATTATTTGCCAAGATGCATTTACGAACAAACCAAGATCAAACACGAAGATTCAACTCATAAAATCAGATTGTAGCCATAAGATTATCCTGTACTTTTCCTTCTTTCAAATCATAAATTTAAATGTCAAACAATTCAAAATCTTTTAACTTACCTATGCCAAAAACAATTAAATCAAAATCAATGGTATTCTTATTAATAAAAAGTTAAAACTATGGTTTGTGTTAAAATTCAAGTATTTATTAAGCCCCCTGAAGGTTGGAGGCGCCAAGAAGATTTCAGGTGCCTTGGACCAGCTGTAGGTTTATTTTCTTCTAATCTTCATAGTCTTTTACAGGGATGAAACAAATTGAAGCTTGATTTTCCATGTGATGCACAAGTTTTTGACATTATTTGTAAAAAGAATTCACCTGAGCAGAAGCCATGATGAAGGGCAGAGGTCCCGCAAAACGTTTTAGTGAATCTTGGAGCAGCAAAGGCTCCACCAGCGCTTACAAACATTTGTAAGTGAACTAAGAAAAGTTGAACATCCAGAGACTTTATTAAAGCCAGCTCTTATTTTGCTGCACATTTTTTTTTATCTGAATAAGGTAGTATGGTGGAGGTTTTATTCAAGGTGATGGATAGTTGAGATAATAATAAAAAGCAAAACAAAACAGCAACAAATACTCCGATCAGCGTGTCCGCCCAATCACATCTGATCTGATCCGTCTGTGGAAGGGCAATATTTCACCCGCCGAGGTCAAAGTCATCCTCACTGACATTTGCGTTAGATTGGTTCCTATGGCAACCACTGTGTCTGCATCACAGTGGTTGTCGTATCTGGGCAGATCTTACCCAGACTTCAGTGATTCAGCTGCAGAGCATAACGAGTCGATTTTAATGAAAGGCTAACCCAAACACAAGACAGCATCTTAATACAATGTGCATACCCTACATACCATGTAGTGCAATAAACAGTCCCCCGAATTGAAACCTAATTATCATAAATAGAGTCCGCCTGTGTCTTCATTTAATCTTAGTGGAAATGCAGCTTTTCTGTTAAAGTCTCAGAGGTTTGTTAAGAGGACGTTAAACAATCAGCATCATGAAGACCAACAAGCAGGAAGTTTAAATAGGTTTGGGTTACAGAGCAGCTTTGAAGAGTAAGGCACGACTTACCAATATGGCCATCCACCTGAACGGTCTGGTGCAAAGGGAACATTTATAATACAAGCAGCCAAGAGGCCTATGGGAAGTCTGGAGGAGCTGCCAGGATCCACAGCTCAGGTGTGTGAACTTATCCACATGACAACTATTAGTCACACACTTCATCTTTACTGGACGAGTCCCAGTCATCGGCATGATTCCTGAAGAATAGCTGTTAAGCTGCAATGTAAAAAATTACTCCCCCCCCCCAAAAAATCAGCTAAAATGTATTGAATTACTTTTATATTTAAATCAGTTTTTCCCAGAGTCATTATTAAATTTTTGAGATGGCCTGAAGTGTCACACGAGGCTCTTGAAATATATGCACTATTGCAGACTCCTAATTTAAGACATAAGGTGTCTCACATTAAGACAAATAACACATTTTAGTATCTTCTATTTGCGTAAAAGTCCAATGAACTCACTATTTCCCACAGATGAACAAAAAATGAATTGGACTTCAAAATATTTACATTTCTTAAAAAGAAACAAGATAAGTAACGCATCTTTTTAACTGTGACTATCCACAACAAATTTAAACTTCTGCAGCTGAAGAACTCGTTCCAAATTATTTAAATGGATCACAAAAATCCCTAAATAAAAATGTGCCCCCCATGTAATTAAAGGCAATTTGGCACTTCTTTGTGTTCTTACATCGTGCATCCTCTGCCATGACTGTATTTCAGAAGCCAGTCAGTCATGAATGTGAAGCAGAGACAGTTTCATCACTTTATTAATGAGTTTAATTATTTATACCAACAAACAAAAACTGTCTCTCTCCCTTCATCCCTCACTTTTCATCATCATCATCATCATCTCCTTTATCAAACTGCACTGTCCCCGATAATGATAATGTTACCCTCTTAAAAAAGGGGCAATAAAAGGGTCACTGCAAATAAAGTGTCACATCTCAGGAAATTGCGGGGGGATTAAAAGAAAACATGATTAGCTAGCTCTTCATGTAGGAGAATGTTGATGGTTCGCCGACGTGCTGCACACACACAAACACACACGTTCCCTGCTCCAACTTTCCATCTGTAAAGATTACAAACTAGACTGACGGGTCAAAACTTTTACACACAGAAAGCAAAAATAGCTCACAGTCAGACAAAGGAGATGATATTTGTCAACTATATTGATTAGCTTTTCCCTTTTCCTCCACACACACACATACATACACACACACACACAATGTGATTTGTGCCCACATCCACTCCCTAAAACACAGACACACACGTACGGGCCCCACGTATACAGAGGCTTGTAACATTCCCTTCACATTGAAGTTTAATGGAAAACCAGAATCGGTTTGCATGTGCACCTGCATACATACAGGACCGTAAATGAGTACAGTATCTTGGATGTGAAATTATTTTGCATCTGACAGAACCAACTTGGATTTGAAAAATAAAAATCCAATGAGAAAGTCCCCAACCCTCCCCTAAAAACAATACAATAAATAAAACAGTCTTGACAACATTAATGGAGGACGAGGGAAAGTGGAGGTGAGGAATGGAGGGAGAGAGAGAATAAAAATGAAACATTTTGTTCTGTTTTTCTCCCCTTTCTGAACAAGGGA